GGCCCCCAGGCAGGGAGCCGCGCAGCCAGCGCCGGCATCCCGGCAGCGCAGAGCAGCTGGCAGGGAGAGGAGCAAGGGGGAGACGCGAGAAGGGAAGAGGCGGCAGTTTGGGCGCCAGGGTGAGCGCTGTGCATGCGGTAAGAGAGCTAGAAAGTCCCACATTAAAGGACAGGCTCTGCAGCTGGGATCTGGCTCCTCCTTGCTGAAGCTTCAGTGCCGGCGGCCAGGACACAGCCAACCTGTTCAGGCTGTGCAGTGCCCGCACTGGATGTAGGGAAGGTGAAAGGCATTTGCCAAAAAGACTCCTGTGTGGAAGATGCTGTTAAGGATGTTACTCAACTAGTGAGGAATCAGAGTGAGAAGAAGGTAACAGACAAGGGGGATGCTGAGCAGGTGCAAAGCAGACAGCAGTGCAAAGGAGACCCTCCTTTCCCCACCCCCCCGCTAGCAACACGGGCCCTGAGGAAACAAGACAGATGTTGAGCAGGTGCAGAGCAGATGATGAGCAGGCCCAGATGCAGACACTAAACAGATTCAGGTGCAGAAGCCGAGCAGATCTAGATGCAAAGATAGAGACTGAGCAGACAGGAACCCCAAGCACGCTGCACATGCTGAGCAGATGGAGGCACAAGCAATCCTCTCAATGAGTGTGTAGGACTCCTTCCTGCTAGAAGCTGTTGGTGGGCATTGAGTCACATCACTGTCCAGCGTGTCCCCTTGTGATGTAGTGCAGCCTTGGGGACACTGAACGCCAGCAGTTCCCAGGGAACAGCTGGAATTCAGTACAGGCAGCCAGACTGCAGCTACTCTGCCAGGTTTATGTTAATCCTGACATATGATGAGCTGGAATAAAAACTACAATGTGGTAATGCAACAAATTTCACTTAATCTCCAGCAGACTGCACTCCATATGGTTATATGATTAGCTCTTAGCTCAGGAGACACCAAGGCTCCAGGAACAGAAAGTGCATGGGGTATTAGCAACTTACCCATATTTCAACATTTTTGACCTACTAAAGTGTCAATTGTGAAACTCTAGAAATGCACGGGCAAACCACGTCTCTGCACAAAATAACATGGCCACACCGTGAACCAGTGTGCAGGAAACTGGGAAAGCACAGCGCTGGGTAATAAAGTGAGGAGCGGATTTGGAGTAGAGTGGAGGAATAAGAGGAAGGAGTGTGGTGCTTGAGAAAGCAGCACAGAGATGGAGGGGAGGGACGGTGATCTGGTGCAGGAAGACGAGATCTCGCATGGGCCAGTGGACGTGGATCCCGCGGGTGAGCGCGGAGATTGCTGAGAGGAAGCTCCTGCAGCCTCAGCCACTGCACACCGGATACAAACTGATCTCTCCATTCCTGTGGAAATGAATTCCCGCGTCCTGTCTCCATCCAGGACACCAGGACATGGTTCTGAGCAGGGGGTTCAAAACACCAAGCAGTGTTAGGATTGAATTTTGGGGAGCCAACAGCGTAGATCCCACTGTCCAGAGAGAGAATCTGGACTTGGGTCACATGGGGAGAGACTGGCTCCAGATGGGCTGTGGTGCAGAGAGGCCTGCGCTTTCTGAAACCTGGGGAGTTTCACCGCTTACACCATTGCTGAATTTGGCCCTCTGTCTTCAAAAGTGGCTGATGTTCAACTTTCCCATGACTTTGTCACTGTGCCAGGTAGTGATCTCAGAGCGTGCTCTGAGCCAGAGCCAGCCTCCTCCTGGGGGGAAGGGGAGGGCTGCTCCATCAGGGAACTGTGAGGATGATACAGGCAAGTCTGAAATGTGCATAGACACACATGCACAAAGGAACTGCACTAGCTCCAAACCATTAGTCAAACAGCTCCTTGGCTTAGAGAACTCATCCTTCTCCAAGACTTAAGGCTCAGGGGTGAGGAAAGCTGAGGGGCAAAAATAGCAACAGGGAGAGCCCGACCATCCTAGGAAGGAAGGAAGGATCTTTAGGAGCAGATTCCTGTTCCTACTTTGAGCTAGATTCAAACACAGAGAGCAATTGCAATGATCCTGCAAATTACTTTGCGTACTTTCCCAAGGAAAAACATATACCATTTTCCAAGCTAGTTTGAGAGAGGGTCTCAAACCATGGGTCTCCAGTGCCAAACATCCTTTCCCTCCAAACTGCCGCCTGCAGAGCTCCAGAAGGAAGAAGGCGCTCTCCCCAGCTATGAACACAGAGCTCTCTGTTGTGCCAGCCAATGATCTGATTTCTTATGAAGCACCTTGACCAGTGGTACTATGGAGTGAGCCAATTGCTGCCCACAGATGACTTGTCCTCCCTTGACATCAAACTCTAACTGTGCAGCCATCAGCTTCTGGGTGGTTGCCAGAAAGGATCCTGTACTTGCACAGGATCCACCTGGCAGGATCAGCAGCACATAGAAAACCTGCACCTCACTGAGAGCAGTGGTAGGAAGAGGGAAGTTCCTAAAGGTTGTGCTCCCTGTGTCACATCATCTACCTGAAAAGGCTACTAGTCTCACCAGTGAGTCCACCAGCATGGAGGCTGCCTGGGCTCCAGACTGTTGGTAGGATCCTCATAGTTAGAAATGCTCATGCCAGGATACATCTGTCTTTCCAGGCATGCACTGGCAGGTGTGCACAGGGTATCACAGATGCCTTTTCTCCAGGGTTAGCTACATGGACTGAGCACTGTAGGAATATAACTTCAGGGCATTGTTCAGTACAAGTATCTGGCCATGTCTGGATTTCAGTGTGATTAATGCACCCTAGACTGGCAGTAGACTAAGTTTCCCAGTAAATCACCTAATCGCCTGTGACCTCTTGCCAGAAGTACTTTGCCCCATACCATCAGCTAGAGGCTTGCCCATGAAGGGGCAGCCCTTTTCTTGGAGAGGCCAGTGCTCTGGATCTCTGCCGTAAGAAGCAGAACCACGAACCTCACTGTGTTCAGAATGGGATGTACAACTTGGCTCCACCTCTGCATCACAGATGGCTTGTTCATAGGATATGAAGGAAATGTGAAAGTTCTTCCTGTGAAGGCAAGATAGCTCATTAGCTCCACCAGGAAAGACATCTGGACCTTGTTGATAAATAAGTAGGCAGAAGGCAATGTAGTGAGAATGGGGGAGATACCCTCTCATGCCTCTTAGCAGCATCACTGCTGTACTTCTTAGCCAAGAATCTTACAGAGCTGATAAACAATAAATGATTGTGCCTCTCATCAGCCCTGTGGTATATAACCAGTTCTATCTAGCAACCCCTGTGTGACATCCAGGTGCCACTGTTAGAAGCAGAAACAGGGCTAGATGAACCACCACTCTAACAAGGAAAGTATTTCAAATGTTCTTACTGGGACATCCTGTGTGGACAGCCAGTCTGCTCTGAAATGGAAAGGGAGACCCTTGACAACACTATTAATAAGGCTAGGGTTACAGAACTGCTTTGGAGGGGGTATTAGAATGCAAATTTCAGCTAGGACACAGAACAGCTATCAGTTAGGCGCCTTTGAGCATTTAAAGAGATCAGAGATTTCTTTTTTCTTTTCTTTTTTTTTGGCTCTGTTGCCGCTCCGTGGAACAAAGCTTAAAACCAGACGCAGCGAGAGCCCTCGCGTGGCTTTGCGAGTGCCTCGAGCTGCCGGCCGTTGGGCTGAGCCTGTCTGCGTGTGGCAGCCGCAGGGTCTGCACTCCTGGGGCACCCAGACATCCGTCCCTTTGAATACCAGCCTGAGGCCTTCCTGCGTGAGCAGGCTGGTCCTATCAATGTTACATTCCAGTTCAATCTAAGTGTGGTCATTAGTTTAGTTGGTAAAATTGTAGTACCCCAAAACGCATCTTGGTAAACTTACTGATTTGGGGTGCAGCACAAGAGGAAGGCCTTCATATTCATGGAGATGATTCTGAAAGTGCATCAGTGTTGCTCAGAGCAGAAGTCAGCATGGGAAGTTAGTCTCTGCTCTCAGGGGCTGCCCCACATCGGCCATCTTCATAACCTGTTTTCCTTGGGAGATAATGCTGCTGTGAAGTGAGGGGAGCAAGTTCAGGAATATAACTTGAAAGTTGCCAGGGCTTCCAGTCTATTTGTCACAAACTGGAACGGTGGCTGGGAATGGTGATAGGTTTGGGGGTTTTGTTTTGTTTTAAGAACAACATAAATATAACATCAACTGGCATGATAGACAGCTCTGTGTTCATCTAAACAACAGCCAGAGGTCATATGAGAGGCTTTGTATGACTGAAAGTAAACCTGCAGGTGGCTGCAGAGCAGGAGCTGCTGTGTTGTCTGCGAGAAGCCTTAATGATGCTAGAGCCTTGAAGGCAAACACGGGTCAACAGGAGGGGAATAGTAGGGCTGAGACAGCCCTTTCCATGGGAGCAGAATAGTCCCATGAAGACAGACTGTGTTGTTGTTGTTTTTCAGCACATCGTTTTGTGGACAGAGTGGACTCTGCTTTGAAGCCCATATCTTTTACCTGCTCTTTTTGGGCATCTGTGGACTGGGTTGTTCTGCTCAACAGGCAGACTTCCTGGCTGAGACTTGCTGTGCTATTTCCTGCCCATGTGTCTGATCTCTGCAGGCCTCTCAGCACTATTAATCTGTCCTTGAAATGCACTAAAACATCCATGAATTTCTCTTCAAGGTCATGAATGAAAACTGGTCTTAAAATCCAGTTTGTTCAGGACACACTCACTATGTCCCCCATACTCCAAAAAAATCTTCCATACCTCATGCTTTATAACCATTTGGTAGACTCTCATTCCAGGAGCCAATGTTAAAATTTGTAAAACAAAGGTTCAAAAGTGATCTTAGATCCAGATCTTATATGGCTTCCCAGGCGTAAGCAGAGTCACTCCATTGTCGCTACAGGGAATGGGCAGCACTAACTGATGAGGTTGCCCCATCCTTCTGGTTAGGATCATCACTTTAGATGCAGAGACTCATGTGCATAAGCAACACTTGATGAACAGAGTTAGAAGACCTACCGATAAAAATAGTGTTGTTCTCCACTGAGTCTGTACCACTGAAATAATGGTGGGAGTAGTGAGAAGATTTTGCAAGACTTTCCAGTATAGAGCAAATTCAAGAGAGTTCAAGAGTCAGACAGACATACTTTAGAGGTGGCAGGACGAATGGCAGGCCTGAATTGGAAGGCTATTTGCCAACAGGTTTATCCTAGATTCCTCACCTCTGACCTATGGTTCTCAATCTTTTCCCTTTTCTTTCTTATAGATGAGTTGGGCATTTGCCCAAAAGGTGTCACCTCCAATGTGTTCCGTTTTAACGTGTCCTCAGCAGAGAAGAATAGCACCAACCTGTTCCGGGCTGAATTTCGGGTGCTGCGTGTGCCCAACCCAAGCTCCAAACGCAGTGAGCAGCGCATTGAGCTCTTCCAGGTGAGTGTCCTTCTTGCCTCCTCCAATACCTGGGCTGAGAACAGCTTCTCTCCTCAAGCTTGTCTCAACAGATGTGTGCAAGGCAGCATAAGACAGAGAGAAGAAATCTCTATTTTTTAGCTCAGGCATCTTCCAGTGCATGAAACAATTCATCTGTCTTTTCTTCCTCTTACACTTTCCCTATTTTTTTTTCACATTACCCAGCTGCTGTGGGCATCCGGTTGTGCCTATGCCAGCTCTTTGCTGCAGGAGAAGGTGGTGAAAGAGGAACACCTGGCCAGTGGAGGGGCTCTCACGCCTCTGTCACATCTTCATGCCTAGGCCCCGTTACAGTTTTGCTTCTTTGACTGTCACCACAGTCAGTCTTTAGCCAAAGGACAGAGCTCCCTTTTCTTATCACAGACTCCCTAGAAAAGAAACACTTGCTTTCCTTTCATTAGCAGCTTCTTTTGGGGTGTGATTCATGGACTCACTTAGTATGGGTGCTCGTTTGGAGTTGATTTGAACCCTCAGATTCTCCTGACAGAATAAGGTCTGATCCTGATTTGAAGCGGATCTCAGGCAGGGCTAGACTACCCAGCTGATGTACAGTTCAGCATCTAAGTTTCACATCCCCGCAGGTTGGCATCTGCCCATTCTGCAGTAAGAATGCAGCCAAAATTGCCCTATGACTGCTAGTTCTTGAGAACTACCCGGAATACCTCTGCGAAGGTCACAGCGATTCTCTGCCAGCCGACGCAGCCACAGGGAGGCAATCTCAGAGCCTGTCTGCAGCGCTCCGTGCCACGCGCCGGGAGCCCTGCAGCAGGCACAACCTTGCCCAGGCTGTGGCCTACTGCCTAGAAGAGGGAAGGGGTATCAGACCAAGGAGTAAGGTCTCCAAGCCTGATCAAACTTACAGAAGCTGAGACACAGAGTATACCTGGAAATGCCAAAGTGTCACCAACAGACTTCCCGGGCAAGGATCCCTGGCAGGACCCTCTCTGCCCACTGCTGGTGCTATCCTGACATTCAGACCCACTTTCCACTAGCATACACAGAAACAAAACTACTTATTAGATCTGCTACAGTGTGTACTGCTGCCTGTAAAGATGTGCCCTGAGACAAGGATGAACTGCAAGAGGTGGGCTGCCAAGGACACAGGAGAGGTACTAAGTGGATCTCTGAGTTTCAGACTGGTTGTGAAACATATCCCTCCCCTGGTCAGGGCATACCTGGTACCTCCCTTGCTGGGATCTGCCTCCTGAATTAGTTTGTAACAAGCTGTGGAAGAAAAAGGAGACAAGGTTATCCCTTCCTTCAGTGCTGCACAGGCTGATTCTCTCTACCCCTCCTTCCCGTGCAGATCCTTCGGCCGGATGAGCACATAGCGAAGCAGCGCTACATCAGCGGCAGGAACGTGCAGACACGGGGCTCCCCGGAGTGGCTGTCCTTTGACGTCACCGAGACTGTGCGTGAGTGGCTCCTGCACAGAGGTAGGGGTCTGGGCTATGAGCCAAGGCACCCACGGTAGTGCAGATTAATGTACACAAGGGAACTGTCCTGCAAGAGCAGAGCTTGCACAAGGGGAAACTTCTTCCAGGCTGAGAGTGAGCCTTCATCCAGAGAGCTATTTTGGTGCATGCTCTTTGCTAGCTTCCTAGCTCGGTCCTGGAGTTCCTGCTCTGTAGCTCTGTGAGCTGAACATAACTAACAATTCATCCGCAGGAGGAGGAAGTTGTTTCCACTGAGAAATGCTGGCATTTCTTTTAGTTCTTTGATTCTAAGCCCGGAAGGTACTTCTCCAATCGTCTGATCTATGACACACACACAAAATGAAGATTGCTGTGATATAGTTTTCATATGAACTAGAGCAGATCTTGTAGGAAAAAACAGCAAGGATCCTGACTTCTTTAGCTGTTTGCAGTTTGGCAGGTATAAAGGTGAGGAAATACCAGAGGCTGACACACCTAGACAGATGGAGGCTTCAGCACTGCAGAGAACATACCTCTGCCACCACGGGCAGCCCAGCAGATCGGTGCGGGGCAGCTTCCAGCACGAACACTGATCCCATTCACAGCTGGAGCATAGGCACCGTGACTCACAGCTGGACTGGCCTCCCAGATGGAAGTTAGGTGCCACTGAAAACTGGAATGTAGGCATTGGCAAGCAGCTGCTCTCTGGAAGGATGAGCTGTGAGTTTGTAGACTTCTTTTTTGAAGCAATCTAGATTTTGTCCTGGTGGCTGGAGTTCAGTGCTGGAATGACCTGCTCTGGGCAGCCACACTAATAGATAGACATCACAGAGCGTACAGTGCTTAGGAAAGAAGGTGCCAGGCACCTTGTCAATGCCCCAGGGAGCCAGATGTTTTAATTCATGACACAACATAACACAGAAAAGGAGCTTTCATAAGAGTCTTGTGTTTCCTGAGTCAGGCCCACACAGCATGACTGGTCCAGGAAGTTATTATGAAAATAGACGTGCCTCTGGAAAGTCTGTTGCTTAGACCGCTAGGAGTTCAACAAAACAGGAGGTTGCAGCTGCTGAGAAAAGTGCTTCCAGTGAAATATTTATCCATATCCAACTTGCTCATTTTCAGATCTCTCCTTCAGACACTAAGCAGAAGCCAGATAGTAGGCAGGTACTGAGGATGGCAATGCTGACTTAACACAGACAGTGCAGGACAGCTTTTCAAAATAACTGTTTTTCAGTGGATCTCCTTGAAGCTCAAAAATGCTTTTGGATGTTGAATATCCTCAAAAAAAAATCAGGAGCACCCTTCTCAACTGAGGAGGAAGCTCCCTTTAGCAAGAACAAGGCTTTTGGCACAAACAAAGCCACAAGATTCTGGTTCTCATTCTTCTTTCCAAGTCACTTTCTGTTCCCCAGCTCTCGTGGCCTCTATAACTTTGCGATCAACCCACAAGCTGGGAATTACAGCAGTACTTGGCAGCTGTGGAACTTCCCTGCTACAGGAACAGTCTTGTTTGAGGAAGATGGTTGTTTCTCACAGGGTCCTTTCTTTCTTTACAGAGTCCAACCTTGGCCTGGAAATTAGTATACACTGTCCTTGCCATACTTTTCAGCCCAATGGGGACATCGTGGAGAATTTGCATGAGGTGTTGGAGATCAAATTCAAAGGTGATAAAGAGCTGGGTTCGGGGAGGTCCTTGGCACATGGAAGGCTGAGAGTGTCTGAAGAAAAGCAGAGTTTTGCTTTGTGCATTTGAATGTTTTACCTTGCATAACGTTTATCCTAAAGCATACATATCTGGTTTTGCATGTTGGTATGTGGTTGTATCTATTTTTATCTAATTTAGAAATGGGAGGAAGGAAGTGCAGGCTGGGTGGGTTTGCATGTGTGTCTGCAGAAAGAAGTAATTTTGTGTTTTAATGTCTCTCTGGGAAGTTCAGCTTGATGCCTTCTCAGATTTCCACAGAGTCTCTGCTTTCCAGTTAGGGCGACTGAAACACAAGGAAGTCAGGCATCCTGTGTGAGGTGGCCCAGAGAATCAGTGGCTTGGCTGGCCTAAGAATTAGGAACCTCCTGGCGTGCAGCCCTGGGCTGCAGCCACTGGCCCCCACAGGCTCAATTGCTGAGGCTGTTTTGTAAAGTGCCAATGATCTGACATCTTCTTTAAGCCATTCATCTTCCTGCCTGTCCTGGGACTGAAGCCAGGAGTGAGTGGGATGGATTAATGGCCCCACCAGCAGCTTGAAAATGGTAAAACAGGTGGCCCACAAGCCTCTATTTCGGACTTGCAGCAGTCAAATTCATCAGGAGTAAAAGGGTCCCTTGTGAAAAAATAAGTCCCAGAATAAGTGGTTTGGCGATGATGGTTTAAGAGGAGGCATGCAAGTGTTAAATGCACTAAGGAGTCTCCTTGCATCCTCTCTTCTACATTAGCATCTTCTTTATGGACTTGTTTGTCTCTGAAGGCATTGACAGTGAGGATGACTATGGCCGTGGGGACTTGGGGCGCCTGAAGAAGCAGAAAGACCTGCATAATCCCCACCTCATTTTGATGATGTTGCCCCCGCATCGGCTGGAGGGTCCATCGTTGGGAGGCCAGAGAAAGAAACGAGCCCTGGATACCAACTACTGCTTCCGGTAAGCCAGAATCCTGCCTGCAGCCACTGGGCTCCATGTCTTCAGTGGGCAAACCTGGCAAGACTCCAGGTCACAGAGAAAGTCAGAGCCTCCGAGGGAGTTGTGGCTTATTGTGGGGCCCAGGGGCCACCCAAAACGCACAGTCAAGCAAGCTGTTCCTCATGGCAGCAAAGACACTGGCCAGGTCATAGAATCATAGAATGCTTAAGGTTGAAAGGGACCTCTAGAGCTCATATAGTCCAACCCCCTGCACATGCAGGGTCACCTAGAGCACGTGGCACAGGACTGCGTCCAAGTGGGTTTTGAAGATCTCCAGAGAAGGAGACTCCACAACCTCTCTGGGCAGCCTGTTCCAGTGCTCTGTCACCCTCACTGTCAAGAAATTTTTCCTTAAGTTCCTATGGCACTTTTGATGCTTCAGTTTCCAGCCATTTCCTCTAGTTCTGTCAATGGCTGCCCGTGAAAAGAGGCCCACACACTTC